TCCACACTGAGATCTTGAAGCTATTCCATAGCCACAGTTCTTCTTTGTTTCTTCTTCGCCAGCCCTCGCCACAATTCGATCATTTGGCAAGAGAGGCCTTTCGACCGGTTGCAGGGAGCCAACTCGCCGTGAGGTGGCATCAGCTCACATTCTACGGAAGTCACACCACAGGTTTGGATTTCAATACAACATCCTAAGATCGTCTCCCGTTTGCCTTGCTGCTCCCAGGAAGCTTATCGGGGGAGCAACTGAGGTCCTGGGAGCCCTGATTTTTGTCGGATGCCAAGGTACCACTTCGAGACGCAGCCCAACCCCTCGCCCCTGGCCTTCTTGTGGCACTTCCTCCCCAAGGACCCGGCTGAAGCCAGCGATCAGGAGAGACATTTGGACCCTCTCACACCTTATCCCCAAACACCCAGAAGGAAAGGCTCCCACAGAGCAGCTGGATCAATCAGCTTCATGCCGCGTGATTTTGCCTTTGCCATAATTACGGGCACAGCCATAATAATGCTTGTCCGCAGGTTGTCCGCAGATTGTCCGCAGCACGTTTTTGAACTTTCCAACGGAATTCTCCGTTTGCTTGTGTTCTGGAATCCCTTCTCAGAAGGTAAGAGGTTCCTAGGGGGTTGCCCCCTAAAGCCAGGTGGGCCGCAGGGTCCCATTGATATTTCAAGCTTGATCCGGCCTGGGAGGGTGTGTGTGTGTGTGTCAAACTGGGGCAAAAGCCTCCATGCATTTGTTTTCAGGGCACCTCAGAGCCATGCCCTCATTGCCTCCCACGTGGAAGCGACTTTGAAGTGCACTCGAGCCAAGCATGCCCTGGCCGAACATTCTCACCCCCTTTTTTGTTTTGGCACCTTCTTTGTGCTGATCGCATCACCGTTTTGTCGCTGGGTTGTTGGCAAGTGGGGGGGGGGCCACATTTTGGCCCCCCCCTCTGCCAGGATGCGTTGTCCAGGGGCGTGGACCTGGACATCTTTGTGCAGCTCTACGCGGCCGGGGGCCCCAGAAAGCCCCCCTTAATAGCCCCTCAAAAAGGGCAATGGGCAACTTTGGTGACGAGATGCTCTCCCCAACCGACAAAAACTTGTTGGGAAGACCGCGTCAATCCGAAGAGAGCCTGCGCCCCTGAACTTGCGGGTTCCCACTAAGGAATCACAGTGGTCGGAGAATGAACCTTGTAGAAGCATACTATGGATGCACGATCTTGTGAATGCACAGCATGTTTTTAGATTTTGGGTCCAATGCTTAGCGGCCAAATGTCGGCTCAACGAGACCCTCCCCCAATTAGGCCGGCCATCCAACATACAAACCACTGAACACTCCCAGCACCCATTCCATCATAGAATGGGACAAGTGGGCCTTGCAAGATAACACAGGTCTTTCAACCCCCTTGTGCATTTCCATGAGCAGAGACTCAGCGATGTACCAATTCAGAGGTTTGTGAAGTTTGCTTAGCTCAGTTTAAGTTGTAACCTTTGCCTTTTGCTGTCCTCCTTGGCAGGTGACCGAATTGATCTGCCATTTTTGTTGCGAGCGCACCGGGGGGCATCACGAGCACACACGATGCAGGCCCTTTGCTTAGGGGATCCTTTGATGATTGCATGTGTTGGAATCTGATCATGGGAGGCTTTGGAAAGTTGCTTCGCGAAGGCACAGAACTGCTAAAGAGGCTTAAGTCATTGTGGTTCTGTTTGCAAGAGTGCTCATATCAGGGGCGGTTCAAAGCGAGAACAGCTGCAAAGACGCATACTCACTTGCCAAGCTCCCTGTGTTGTTGCTTTCGGGGATGTCACCTCAGTGGAAAGGAGAAGGTTCGACTTTGTTGGGCAATCTTAAGGGGCCCGGGGATTCATTGCAATGCGCAAATCAGCAGCTCACTTTGCAGACTGCGCAGCAGAGGCATGCCCTTGGCACACACACACACACACACCCTATATCCCAGAAATCGCTGCCAGTTCCATTTTCCGTCTCGCGAGCGGCCATGGAGTTGGTGACTCCCCCACCCTTCCAATAAATATTGGCACGAACATAGATGCAGTTGAACACGATCCCAACTTCCAATGCCAGCATCTTGATCCCGAAGCCTATATAGCAGTTCAAGGTTAATTCGGAATGAGAGAGGTGCGGGGCCGGAACCGATACCCAAACCGATCGCCAACTCATTAGATGTCGTGCCGAATCCAACCAATTCCCGCGGTGAAGAGTTACGATTTTTGAGTAGGCGCTGCCAAAGTATACATTGTGACTTGCACTTCGCACAAGTTGTTGTCCGCAGGGTTTTCACCTTGGCCGAGCTCGCGTTGCGACTGGACTTCCCGAGGTCTGGTTAGTGCTGATCCCCGGGTTTGGGCCTTTGCGGCACCTGCGGCGCCTCGGCGGGCTGGTGCAGGCGATCTTCATGCTGAACATCGCGGTGTCAGGCCAATATCCGCTTCCCACATTGGTGTCGAGAAGGGGGGGGCTCCACATGAGCTGGGGGCTCTTGTTTATCTCCGATTCTCAGTAACTGGAAGGTCATGCGAAAACCAAGGCGGGGACGGAGGATTCCCAGTTCCTGGACCTTCAAACGCACCTGAAATGTTTGCCTCCCCTGCCAATCGGCTGGTTTTTGCAATTCGTACCTTGTTTTCTTGGCTTGTCCTCTTTTTTGGACCTCGAGCAGTTGTTGGAAGCATGCCGGGTGTCAGGTCCTCACATGACCTACTCGAGCAGAAATGGTGTAAAACGAGCGCAAAAAACCCGCAAACGAGCGCAAATTTGAAAAAATGCTCGATTGAACATATAAACCTCGAGCACTTTTTCATTGCTCGGGCAGAAATTGAAGACTCGGGCACAAACTCTGTGTTCGAGCAGAAAAAAAGCGAGCAAAAAAAAAGTATCAATGGAAGGTCCAGGTCAGTTAGGGGTGGGGATCTGGGTGGTGACTTGCAGCTCTCGGCCACCTTTGAGCCTGGGTCAGGGCCAGAATTGGGCTGCTGTCAGCTTGCGATGGGCTTGGCAAGGGAGAAATGGAGAGCATCATCCCTTCAAGTGCCTGGCATTCTCCGAATCAAAGCTCGTCCCAACAGGATGGGGGAGCGCACGTTGTTTGTTCTGGCCTTTGTCCTTGTGGGCTTGTCCGTTTCTGGTCGCGCCAGGGAACCTCTCCTTCCTGAACCACCTGACCATCATCCCGGCCATCGCCTGCCTGGACGACGCCTGCTTGCGCAGTTTCCTTAAGCCCCTGGGGCTCCGGCTGGGCCTGGCCAAGCCAAGGGCCGCCCATGGGATTTTGTTCGTTCGTGTCCTGGTGGATGTGGCCCTTGTGCTGACCATTGCGTACCTGTCCCTGCCGGTAGCCAAGAATCTGCTGCAGATGGAGGGCCGTCAAAAGATGAACAGCCCTTCAGCTCAATGGATTGCACGAAGAGGTCCTGGACGTTACCAGCGGCTGATCTTCCGACAATGCCTTGATTTATCAGGGTCCAGGGCGGGGTCTCAAAATGCCTGAATCGCAAGAACAGATCTTTGCTTCGGCCCTCTCCCCTCCGGGATGGGTTCGATTTCCCTTTGGCCTGCTCTTCGCATACGAGCATATTAATATATACGAGCCGGAGACTCAATCTCATCAAGACCTGGTGCAAGTTTAGGCCGTAATGACTTCATTTAAGGTTGTCATTGTTATTATCTTTTTTTTGGCAACCCCTGCGTTGTAAATGTCGTTGTTGGGCTGGCTGGCTTTCGCTCACCCGCCTCTCAACTTTGCTTGGCAAAAGCGTTTGGTTTAGTATGTTGGATGTTTTGGTTCACATTTGGTTGCTGGTTGCTTGCATGAGGCTCATTTGGTGCCTTCCGGCTGGTGAACACCTATGGCGCTTTCGGCAACGTGGGCCAGGAGCGCTACGAGGCCATCGTGTCTGTGTCCCATGACCGGAAGAAATGGGTCGAGCTAGAGTTCCCCTGCAAGCCGGGCAGGGTGGATCGGAGGCCCTGCACGTGTGCGCCCTACCACTACCGCCTGGATTGGAATATTTGGTTTTTGGGATTCAAGCCTCACCAGGCGTATCTGCAGAACAGGGAGACATGGATGTGGGCCTTTTTGGCCAAAATCCTCGATGGCGACGCTGGCACAATTGGCCTGCTGGCCCCAGAGGTGGCCACTGGTTTGGCATACTTCCCCGAGGGCCCACAAGGCGAGCGCCGCAATCCCAAGTTTGTCAAGGTGGACATGTGGCGATACCGGATGCGGGCCCCCTTGTGGGAGATCTTGCAGGACTACTGGCAGAACGGCACAGCGATCTGGTGGGAGCGCAGCAAGGGGGAGGCCCTGGTCCCTGCCCTGGAAAGGACCGCCAGTTGCCCAGCGGTGTGTACTCCTCAGTTTAAAAGATGTGTTTCCAGTTTTTTTAAAGATATGCCATATACGCCTTCGAAATCGAAAGGCGGGTCCTTTCGTTCCATGAGAAACTGTTGGCGCAAGGAACTACACTGTCCTGGCACGCATGCTGGAGCTCACGGCAGTCCAGTAGGGCTGCGTATCTGCCGCTGCACATCCACGAAGCAAAGACGAGCAAGTTGGCGGTGCGAGCGATCGGCCCGAAAAGATGTGCTGCGCAATGGGGGTGTGAGGCCCATGGAATTCCATCGGTCACAAAACCTGAGTTCCCCTTGCTTGAGCGATTTAGGGGGCTGGCCGGCTTCGGAATTGTATTCCCAATCTTCGGATCTTCGGGTGAGGAGGGGGAACTGATTAAAGGCTTGATTCTCCCGTGGTTTGTCATTCTGGGTCCTGGCCCAAGCTCGGGTCTTAATGACTTTTTGGATTGTTGGGTGTGCGTTCAAGGTTGCTATTCTCAATAATATCTTGGTCTTGGCAACCATGGGTCGAACAAGCTGGCTAGCTTTTGAGAGTTCCAGTCTTTTCCCCGAAAAAGAATTGGGAGACTAAATTGGGACACCCTGCAACCCCATTCCAAAAGTGACGCTGGATCGGGCATGGCGCCTCAGAACTGCCCGAGGAATGGTCTTCGAAGAGGCGAGGTGCAGCCCAATGCACTGGCTAACCCCACGCTCTGGGGACTGAACCCCGGTTTGGGCTTCGAACCCGTATCCTCAAGGTGGTAGAGAGCGGGTGAGCGTCTTGCGGCGAAACAGCGCGGGTTCCACTTCGGACCTTAACCAATGGCCTTACCAGGGAAAGAGACAAGCTTGGCAAAAGGACAGGCCTCGTCTCAAGTCAAATTTTTCTGTTGTACACCAGGCGAGGCGTGGACCCTTTGACAACCACTGCACAAACAGGTGTGGGTCAGCATCAATCGCAATTAGCTGCACACAGCGTCCGCAGCATCACCACCCAAGAGATACCGGTGACAACTTGGCTGCATTGTCATATCGTTCTAAATTGCCAGTCTTAAAATTAAGTAAAGGGAGGTTCTGAAGGTCTAGCGCGAAAGGAAAACACTGCATCGCGAAAGGCCGGCGAAAGGAACGCGAAAGGACTTGAAACATAATGAATACATGGTAGAACCCTCGTTTGGGCTCGGAAACAAGTTTTTCAGGACTGGTTTGTCACCGCGAAAGGAAAACATGGGGCCGCGAAAGGACCGCGAAAGGCCGGCGAAAGGGCCGTTTCCAGGAGCTTGTTTCTTGAACAACCCCAACATGCAAATTGTGCCCACGCGGCTCTGCGTATAGGACCTCTTCGTTGACAACTCACTGGTAGCTACACAGGGTGGCCACTTCGATGAAGAGGAACCTAATCTTCAGGCAGCCATTAGGACAACTGAAATCGCACCCCGTGAGGAGTTGTGGCCGTGGCAGTGGCTGGCACAGATTGTTTGAGCATGCCGGCATGAAGGACATGTGTCGATTGGTTCATTGGCTTTCAATACGACCAAAATGTGTTGCAGATGCGTTATGTCGGCCCGCATCCCATGCTTCGAGCTAGCTTGAGTACATGTTATAACTCAAAACGAAAGGGGGTCTCCCCAAATAAACAGGCCCCGCGTGGTGTATGTCTTTAGGTTTCCCTTTGAAACAATCCTCATACCGGGCTTCCCCCCAAACAAATCGCCCATTGAGCCGGAGATTCAGCGGAAAGCCATCCAGGTGCAGAACCTTTGCCTCATCAGGGGCGACGCAGCGCGGGTCGTGCCCTTCCTGCCACCCGGGTCTGTGCCACTCGATGAAGGGGCCGACGCTGGACCTCCCAACATGAAACCCGAGGCCCAAAAGGGGGCCGAAGCCGAGTTGGGTGTTTGTTAAAACGGGGGAACCCTCACAAACAAGTGGGTTTGGGCTCCCCCGAAACAGACAATACAAAAGTGGCACCCTCAGAAACACATCACACTTTTGACTGCTTGATCATTTCTATGGTCGGGACTAATGGGATTGGGGGTGGCACCTCTTTTTTTTGCAAACTCATGCTCATCCTTGTCACAGGGCGCATTGTGCAAGAGGAATTTACATAATTGGGGACCTGTGCTTGGGCACCCAAGACTGCCGGCCCACCAAGCGCGTTTATGACGGGCTGCTTTCCTGATTTTGTTGCTGCGTTGCCTTCTTTTTTCCGTTTTACGTTTCTTTTGGATTGACAAAGCCCGGCGACGCCACATGAGACAATTGGTTTGTAGGCATGCGCGTTTGTGTGTAGTAGTTTGGCTGGCAAGCAGAAAAAGGATGAAAGCGACAATTCGCATATGGAAGGCTGCTGTCAAAATTAGATCAGACACCTTGTTTTGGACCAGCCCAACGTTCGACAGCAGGGCCCCAAAGAGGTGTTTTCGGCCCTGGCATGCTTGATGCAGTGGGCAGGCAAATCCATGTTAGAGGGGTCGCAGAATCTTCGTGAGGCAAGCAAGGAGCCGTTCATTGACTCTACGCCTTACGTCTTTATGGTCACTTCACTTTTTGAGAGGCCGATCATAGGCGCCGATTTGGGGATGTGAATTCGTTGCATGTCCGAGGTCTCACATCTTCATCAACTTCCCGGAGCCTCCCCACTTCTCAGGCCATCGACTTCGGATCCAGTGACGTTCACCAGCTCCCCACAGATTCACCTGGAACCCAAAGGCCCTGAAACAAAAGCTTTAAGAGAGGAACCTCCTTTTTTGGGGGGCCCACTTTTTGGGGTTTCGTGTTCATTTGTAGGGGAATAAAGTTTCCTTTGGTGCCTTCACCCCCCACCACCAGGGCGCGATGTATGAGTAGAGCCTCCGGAGACGTTTAAGCCATAGGATCATTCCATTTAGCTTCCCGCATTGACACTCCCGCTTTCAGGAGGCACAAGCAGAAAGTTGAAAGGTGGGCCGCAACAATTTGGTCCGTATACGTGACACTCTCAAAATCGTGTATCCCATTTTTTGCCCCTGAATGTTAGTTGCTCCCCCCCGAAACCCAAAAACAAAAAGGAGAAAAGGAGCTATCCACGAGTGTGTTCGCTTTCGCGGGTCCAAGGGCAACTCCTTACTCCAGTTGGTCAGTGGCATCATTCTTTCTGTTTCCCTCGGCTCCCTTACAACAGAAATGCCCTGAGAAATGAACAAGTCAAGTCCTATGTGATAAACTAGCTTCCCCAATCTCGCTACCCCAAAAATCCACTGAGTGACAAGAGGAAATGTGCCCTCGATGTTGAGGTAGTGGACACCATCAGCCCAAAGGCTCGGCATGGCGCTTGCCCGGCAGGTCATGAGGCGGAGGCCAGGAACGAGTTGCTCACCGCCGAGTTCTTCGAACAGCGCCGCGCCGGAACATTTGGCAAGTCGCCCCATGACTTTTGGGGAGCGGGGGGAACACCCCAACAGAACCCAGGTGCGTGTTGATGGTTTTGAGCTGGCTTACCTCTAAACATCACGTACAAACGCAGGTGCCCTATTTTCACATTGCCACTGGAGAAAATCAACTTGAAAGGCTTCAGATCACCACATTTCCTCAAATCTCGCTTTGGAAAGCCAACCGTTTCACCTTTTGGCGCGTGATGGTTTTCCAATGTTTTCCACCGCATGTCGATTGTTTTTCCGAGGGATTTTGTGGACACGCATGTATATTGCTTATTCATTGGGGTATGCCTTTGTGGTTGTATATGTATCTATATAAAAGGCAAATCCCATGATGTACTGGCGCTCGCCATTCTCGCATAGCTGAGTTTCGGGATCTTTTCTGGGGCTGTCCAAGGGCCCCCCTCAACTGCCAACCGCGCCCGAGAGCCTTGGACAACCAACCGGGCTCTTAGGCTCCATGGCTTGCTTGCGGCGGAGGGCAGGATGACCATTCTCTCAGACAACTGGAGGCAGTCCGTGGTTTCTCGGGGAAGGGGGGGGTTGGGTTGTCCGTCCTTTGGTATCTTTTAGCAGGCCAGCATTGTGTTTGTGGTGGAGTCTGGTGTTCCCTTTTGGGGGCGAGTAAGCAACAGCCGCTTCTGCGCATTAGGCGCTGTTTGCGGTGTCTCTAAATTGAGTTGACGGATGTTGTTTTTTTGGACGCTGGCAATATGATTGGAGCTGTTGGGTTGGGCATGGAACCACACCCACAAAACCAGGGCATCCAACCGATTGTCCCCATGCCCTTCTCGGGAACAGGTCATTCAAGCCGCTGCTCACTGTTCAAGAGGACATGGCATGGGATAGAGGTTGACTTTTGGGCTCACAGATGTGAACCAGTGAGGATGTTTCAAGGCCATTAGTGCGGTCTTATAAATTGGTCAGGTTGGAATTCTTTGCTTGTGGGAGGCGCTACTTGTGCCTCATTGTGCGTGTGGATGTGCGGATGTGAATTGTTTGCGACGCAAGCGTGAGCGGCCCAAATCTCGGCAAACATTCTAGGTGTTTTGCTGGAGGGCGCGGGCAACATGCCCGGCCTATGACCGCAAATGATACGGATGAAATTTTCGAGGACGTTCCCACCGAGGTCAATGATAGCGAGCTGCAGGAGTTGGCTTTACCTCGGGATGTGGTGGCAGCTACCAGGCAGGCCTGGGAAGAGTTCCTGGGGCTCTACGACAGCGGCGTGGCCTGCGGCGAGGCCATCTACGCAGCCATTTTCGACTCCTCGCCAAGCCTGCAGTCTTTGTTCAAAATACCCCGCGCCATCATGGCCGTGAGGTTCCTTCAGGCGACCTTGCCTGAAAGCAAAGCTTTTCGACCTCCAATCTTGACCACGATTTTTGAATGTCAAGTTCAAGCTTGTGTGGAGAAGTGGGGAGCTGTGTATGTTTGTGTGTGTGTTTGTTGAATCCCCCGGATGTTGAGCCATCGGTGTTGGATCATAAACTTGGCAAATGGAAAGTGGTGCTCCTCCTCCACAAGTGATCACTGTAATTTTGTCTCTTGAATGGGTTCGCGTTGCCTCCCATTATCCTCCTTGCTTATATGGATTATATTCAACATGGATGATGAATCCTCATGCCTGATGGTTCTCGTGCTCGCATTTTGGAAGCAACCCCGTGTAAATCCGTTCCTCAGGGCCTTACCATGCTGATCAAGGACGCGGACAGCAAAGAGGCGCTTCGGAGCTCCGTGGGAATGTTGGGCTTCAGGCACTTGGAGTTGGCCATCTCGCAACAGCGCCCCGGACCACCAAACAACCCCCCCCCCCCAAAAAAAATCAATCCGTTGTTCTTGTCCTTGTGCTGAATGTCTCTTGAAGTCGTGTCCCCCCACCCCCCAACCCCTTTCGAAGCACCCCAACTGAAACAAACGCATCTTTCAGCCGAAGGGGCCCCGAGTGCAAAGCATCCACTCGTCGCCTTGGTCCTAGGCGCGTGGGCACCTTCCGGGACGCCATCATCGACCTGCTGGACGCGGAACTGGAAAGCTTCACGGCCAAGGCCAGGTATGGCCTCGCACGCCTCATCAACCACGCGGGGGCCGCCTGCAGCCCGGACTGCCCTGGCCATTGGAAATCCCCCGGTTTTGTCGGACGGCGCCAAATAGAAACGCCTTGGGTGCATTGGGGTGGAGGCGTAAAAAATGAAGCCGCACGCATATTTCATGGATGACATTTGTTTCGTCCTTCATTTTCCTTGAATCATGGGAAACCGAGCGAGTGAGGCATTTACGTGGCCCGGGAGTATGTGTCGCGGGTGGAGCTCATCCACTCCACTTGGCAGACGGCCTGCGCCAAGAAGGATGCGCAGCTTACATCTCTCCTAACAGTTCCAGAAACAGTTATGATTGTACCCCTTGAAACGCCGGCCAAAAGGGACCGCTATTTCTGGAAACACCCCACTGTTTCCTGCCAACAAGCTTCCCAGTGGCTCAAAGGTAGGCGAAGGTAGTTTCCCACAGCGCTGGTTTCAAAGGCGGTGTCATGTCCTGAACACTGCATGAAAATCACAGCCCGACAAAAGGGCTGTGAGCTCACTTAATTGCCTTTCGGAAAGAGGCCGTTTTAGTTGTACACAAATTTGAACAAGTGTCAATCAACGTGAGGAGACGGACATGGCGAGGACGTCCAGCCCGGATGAAGAGGCACCAGCCGACGAAAGGCGGCCTACAAGCCCAACAAGCGCGAGCGCGAGCAATGTTCAGCTTGAGAAGGAGGACAACGAGGCAGGCAGGTTCGAACATTTCCAGGCACCACTGGGTGCCGTTCTTCCTTTTTGCCTGAGGGGGTTCCCTGTGAAAGCAACCACCCACAAAGGGTGCCTCTCTTTTTCATTAGAGCATGTTTGTGCGCGCACCCATTTTACCTCGGTTTCAAGGGCAGCCAAAGGAAAACAACACTTTTTTGGGTCCCCCTACGTGGACACATGCCATTTTTGGTGTTTCGCAAAATTGGGTGTGATCCCAGAGTCTGGCTGGTTTCCTTCATTTCCCAGGACGAGCTTGCCCCTGAAAGGTCCCTACTTCCTCAGTCTTACATCCAATTTGTGAATTCATGAATGCTTCCCGACATGTGATCCTTTTTCAAGCACCGTATGATTACGTAGTATTTGAAGCCTCCCTGAAAGAATGAATATTCCTCTCGTAGGTATGCCAGACTTCGACTACAAATGGTAGAAATGTTATGGATGAGGTTCTAAGGGACGCGAAAACAGAGGTTTCTCCAGATTACTCTATGGGTGCTCGAGTTCCAAGTCCTTTTCAATGGCCAAGTGCAAAACAAGCTGCAGTACGGCATGAGCCAAAAACCCCAAACTAGAGGCCAGAACCAAGTCGAAGAACTTCTGCGAAATCCTGGGGTTTCGATGAAACTCTATGAATGGGATGAACCACCTGGAAACTGTTGCCTGGCGCGGCTGTCGTCAGTATTTCCCGGCTTGTGACTCACAGTTCAGCTTGGGCCTGAGGACAACGAGGTGCCCACCACCTTTCAGGCAGCTTGGATTCAGCCACCACCACCCCACCCCCTGCTGCCCCCCCCCCCCCCCCTACCCGCGCGCCCCAGATAAAAGGCATGGATCAACACGAAGGACTCGGCGAATCGCATATTGTTGTTTTATATTATGGTGTTTGACTGGAATCAATACGCTGAGGGTTCGCAAGGAAGGTGCTAGCCAACCAAAATGGCTAAGGGCCTCTTCGAGTTCAATACGGCCATCATGGGCTTCGCAACCAGCAAGCCCTGGATGGACCTGATCTTGCACCAGCTTCACGACATCGCCCCCCGACTTGATTTTGCTCCGTGTTTGCGTGCTTGTTGTAGTTGTTTTTGTGTCAGTTTAGTGTTTTAGTTTGTTTGTTGGGGGCGGGGGGTGCGTGGGCGGGGGGTTAGGGCATTTCCGCCATATGCTTGTGTGTTTGTTTTTTGTTCCGTTTCTTGTTTGTTTGTTGTTTTTTGGGGGTTCGCTGGGCGGGGGGGGGGGGTGCAATTCCAGCAATCCCCATCGGTTTCACTTGTGGCTCACTTTCCAGCCATGATTGTGGAACGTTGCATTTTGGATTGCCACTTTCTCTCATACCAAGGGAAGTCCCTTTCAAGGTGATAGAGTCGCACAGGCACGGAATTCCCACTTTGGAGCACCGAAAGGTGCATTATTCACAACCATGCCCCGTATATGTTTTTTGTTCTTTTTTAAGGGACTTAAAACATAAATAAAACAGAGAAACATTATTTTTTTCGGCAGGTGACAAGAGTAGGCGACACAATGGAAGTGAGCGAGCAAGCTAAGCATGTGGCAAGAGAAAGGGAAGCAACGCAGCAAGGTCTTGATGCGAATTGGGAAGGTCAGTGATGAACAGCAAAAGGTTGAACCGGTTGTCTGGACAAGTTCATTTGGGGAAGTGAGGCACTACCAACAACCCCTTAACGTTGCGAGACGAGAACAGTGGTTCTGTTGTTGGATAAGCTCATCACGGCTCGTCATGGAGTATTGTATGACAAACGTGTTTGCAATCATGCTGTAATTGCACACGTGTTTGCAACAGCAAGCGCTGCATTAGCCCCCACCCGCAATTTGCGGCAAGGGCATGATCGTTGTCGCACATGTTTCGTGGTTTGCTATCACCAGCTTGCAACCGTATTTCGTATTTGCACAATATTCACTAATTCACCCCGTGGAGATGCGAGGCCGCCAACTGACGCACGGTCAACCATGGGAGGGTAATCCTTGGGAAGTTGGGCCACTTCAAGAGCCTGGCGGTCATCGTTTCAAACGAAAAGGGAAGCAAGATGGGGGCGGCAGTACCAGGCGTGTGTTGGGATGAAACGGCTAGAAGCCCGTCAGCTTCGGGATGAGTTTGCTGTCGACTGGCCCCAGCTTGCCCCGTGCCCTCGCGCATCGTGCGCGGACTTTTTCGGTTTGGGTACGGTCTTGGCGCTGTCAAGCGGAAAGGGGGTCAAAAGACAAACGCTTGAGAATTTCGGAAAGTTGACGACTTTCAAATTCGTTCTGGCGTGGCCTGGATTTCTAGCTCAATCCCCTGAGTTGTTGTTTTTTTTTTAAGTTTTGTTTTGAATCATCGAGGTGTCCTCAAACAGTGTCCAAACGCGGTTTTGCTGCTTCCCTGGTGGACCACAGAGCAGCTGCTCCCCCCTGAGCCATCGAGGCCATGAACGTGGCCAACACCGGGCGTTTGCGCGAGGAGTGCGAGAAGCTGGCGCTGGTCCTCGCAAAGCACGAGCCGATTCCTTTCGCGGACTTCCGGGCAGCGACTCGGAGAGCTGTGGAAAACTTGGGTTTAGGACCTGTGTCTGTGATACAAAGGGGAACCCCTCTTTGAAGTGAGCAAAAATCAATTAGTCCTAGGGATGGCCTACTTTGGTATCACCGAAAATGTGATTTGTTACAGGGCCGTGTATACGGCTGAGGTCCTGAGGTCCTGAACCAAGCCTCCTTTGGGAGGGAAC